CCCCCCTGGAAGTGGTGAAAGTGGACGAGCTCAAATTATTTTCAGTCGCTGTATTATTTTATCGCAAAAGTTTTGCGCAAATCTGTAATGGAAACGCGCCTTGTGAGAGAGAGAGAGGCGCGATCTGTGGGCGCGATCGAACAGTGGGAACATAAAAACATTCTCCGTCATTTTTGTTTGTACAGGATATCATTCAAACTGCAAAGTGTTTACTATTTGTGCACACAATATTTGTGCACACTCGCAATAAAACACAACATTGTGCTTGGATGCCATGGACCCTGTGTCCTGTTTTGGGTGGAGTTTTTACACGCAGCACAAACACAGTAGTTCGCCATTGTCAATCTACAATCTACTATATATTTCTATCTTGCTGCTAACGTTAGCTATATCTGCTAACGTTATGCCGTCTGCCTATCTCTCTCTATACTTTTCTATCTATATATCTAGTTTGTCTATTTATCTAGTCTATCTATCTATATGTCTTCCTCAGTATATCTATGTATTTATCTATTTATCTATAATCTGCACTACTGAATACTCGCGTCTTCTACTCGTCGCTCTAAACAAGGCGGGCTTTGGAAATTATCTCCCCAAGGTGACGTAATGCAATGCATTATGGGGGAAAGGAGAATCGTTGAAACTGCTGTAAGATAGTACCTACTTTTTCGTATTATATTCCGTTTTGTGATGCACAACAACATAAAATACAATGGATAAGAGTTTAAATGTTTATTACCAACAAGAAAATTGCACAAATTCGTTGAAAAATTAACCCTGCAACACGGCCTTTAACATTTAAATAAAGATCAAAATCAGTACCTGAGATTATCATTGCTATATTTTGCATCTTGTTGTTCTAGCCATGACTTTACAGTTGTTTCTAAAAGAGAATCTCCTGACAAAAACTGATAAACATGGAAAAGAGACAATTTATTGCCTGTCGTGGCATTGTGTTGCGTCTGGTAAAGTGTGGGCATTGGTAACCTAAACCAATTAATAACCACATAGATATGAACCAAAACACTCTGGACAAGCAACCAACCAACCGACCACCAGTAACTGTAAATAAATAATTAAATAATAGTGTGATTTCTCTCATGTTGTAGGGAGCAGAGAGATTCAGGAGTTAAGCTGCTTTCCAACCCAGAAAATAGCAGTTTTATTGGATAGCACATTTGACTCCATGTCTCTTCTCTTTGGTATGCGGTTTATGTATCTTGGATGCAGTCATGAAACGTTGTGTCGCTGTGTTATCGCCTCCATCACTAAATATACACACACTTGTGTTTACCAGTCCATTTGGGTCGAGCCCTTTGCTTAGGCAGGACGGTGTTTTCACGAGCAAATCACTTTCAATACTTTTGCAGTTGTGGCTCAGTATTGACAAGGCGTTACAAATTCACAATGGAAGAATCATATAGAAGAGTCATACATTCCCAAAGGAGTAGTTCACCCAAAAATGAAAAACTCTGTAATCATTAATTATGTCCTTCCAAACCCACATGAATTTGAAGAATGTTACAGCGACAAATCAGGCCTGTTCATCACACAATGTTATCGTATGACTTCAGAAGATTTGAAATTTATTGCACAAAAGTCATATGGTCACAAGTTTTCAGTCACTGTGTGGAAAGAAAATGGCATAAACAATCTGTTAAACATCATATTGTTTGTTCTACACAAGTAAAAAAAAGTAATATGTGTTTGGAAGGACATGTGATTACACTATGGCACAGTATATGTGTTTTTTTTTTTTTTGGCAAACTTCCTTTTAAACAAGTCAAAACTATGACGAATGTGGAATCCTCATTTTAAAGTAGGTCAGGATCTGATGAAGATTTATCATATGACTGACAGGTGGAGGATATTTGTTGCACATTCTTTCAGTTTTACTCAGAATCTCTTTCTCTGTCATTTCCTGGAGATACTCCTGTCGTTTCTTACTGACATTTAGGGACTTTTCTTATATTGTTCGTGGAGAACAGCGTGCGAAACCTGCAAACTCACGTCAGTGATAGACAAAGTACAGTATGTGAAGGTCAGGAATTGTTTTGGCAAGCAATGCGAGGGGTAGGTTTTCTTGGCTCGCTTTAAACGGAGAGAAAGTTACTGCATTAATCCAGAGAAGAGCATTGACAGAACACTGCATTTCTAATGATTCGAGAATGCACTTTGACTACAAAAACAAAATGTTTTGATGATGTTATCATTTGCTATTTTTATATTTTGTGAACTCGCCACAGGGAAGAAGAATAAAACTCTTTGATACACGCACACAAATAAAATGTTTTCTCATTTTGAACATGTGATGTATTATTAGGCACGTTATAGCATTTCAGGTTTTATGATGTATGATTTTATGATACAGATTTATGGAAGCTTGTTTCCGCCTTTGAATATAAAATAAATAATTGTGACTTTTTATCTCACAATTCTGACTTTTTTTCTCACTCGCAATTCTGACTTTATTTCTCAGAATTGTGAGATATGAAGTCAGAATTGCATGATATAAAGTCAGAATTGTGAGATATAAAGTCAGAATTGTGTGATATAAAGTCAGAAATGTGAGATAAAGTCAGAATTGCATGATAAAAAGTCAGAATTGCGTGATATAAAGTCAAGATTTGCATGATATAAAGTCAGAATTGGGTGATATAAAGTCAGAATTGCGTGATATAAAGTCAAGATTTGCATGATATAAAGTCAGAATTGCGTGATATAAAGTCGCAATTGCGAGATATAAAGTCAGAATTGTGATATAAAGTCAGAATTGTGATATAAAGTCATAATTGCGAGATATAAAGTCAGAATTGCGAGATATAAAGTCAGAATTGTGATATAAAGTCAGAATTGCGAGATATAAAGTCAGAATTGCGTGATATAAAGTCAGAATTGCGTGATATAAAGTCGGAATTGCGTTATAAACTTGGAATTGTGTGATATAAAGTCGCAATTGTGTGATATAAAGTCAGAATTGCGAGATATAAAGTCGCAATTGCGTGATATAAAGTCGCAATTGCTTGATATAAAGTCGCAATTGTGTGATATAAAGTCAGAATTGCGAGATATAAAGTCAGAATTGCGAGATATAAAGTCAGAATTGTGATATAAAGTCAGAATTGCGAGATATAAAGTCAGAATTGCGTGATATAAAGTCGCAATTGCGTGATATAAAGTCAGAATAACGAGATATAAAGTCAGAATTGCAAGATATAAAGTAATAATTGCGAGATATAAAGTCAGAATTGCGAGATGTAAAGTCACAATTGGGTGATATAAAGTCGCAATTGCGTGATATAGTCGCAATTGCGTGATATAAAGTCGCAATTGTGAGATATAAAGTCAGAATTGTGTGATATAAAGTCGCAATTGCGAGATATAAAGTCAGAATTGTGATATAAAGTCATAATTGTGATATAAAGTCATAATTGCGAGATATAAAGTCATAATTGCGAGATATAAAGTCAGAATTACGAGATATAAAGTCAGAATTGTGATATAAAGTCAGAATTGCGTGATATAAAGTCGCAATTGCGTGATATAAAGTCGCAATTGCGTGATATAAAGTCAGAATTGCGAGATATAAAGTCAGAATTGCGAGATGTAAAGTCACAATTGGGTGATATAAAGTCGCAATTGCGTGATATAAAGTCAGAATTGCGAGATATAAAGTCAGAATTGCGAGATATAAAGTCAGAATTGCGAGATGTAAAGTCACAATTGGGTGATATAAAGTCGCAATTGCGTGATATAAAGTCAGAATTGCGAGATATAAAGTCAGAATTGCGAGATATAAAGTCAGAATTGCGAGATGTAAAGTCAGAATTGGGTGATAATGTCCTCATCTTATGGAAAATAATATTTTATCAATATCGTTCCACTTTTTTTTTATGATATTTTCTTGAATCTTGATGTGTAATAAAGATATAAAAAATATACCGCATTAAACATCTGTAAATGTGGTCAAATAGAGGAATACAAACTAAAACCATCAGCACAGTCCAGAAATAGCCGTATGCAAAGAATGACTCATAATTGCTTAATTTCCATATAAATAATAGTGACTTGCTTGCATTTGTTTTTTCAATTTTATTTCCAGTCTTCACTCCTGCAATGCTTAAGCCCCGCCCACAGTGAAAACCCATTGGTCCAAAATTCTGCTCCACACAGAACACATTTCTTGTCTGGATTAAGACACGATGCAAATATTTACCTTTCATAAACTGGTCTTGCAGTTTAACCTTTGTGCCAACTAAATTTTACCCAGATTGTCAGCATCTCAGGAGGACATTGTTTACATATCCGATCAGTCAGTTAATTAACACTAGAATAACCATGATGGGAAAAAAGTATTATTTATTATTATATTATAAGTTGGCATTAAACAGATTTCGCGATAGTCTTTTCTTCCCTATTGTGATGTACATCCGAGTGAAACGACTTTTCAAACAAGAATAAATGTAGGAGTCCCTTACAACATAAAACGCTCCATCAGAGAAATATACATACTGACAAATTCCATAAAATAAAATTTAATTGTTATTTTGATTTTCATGGTGACTTTAAACTTAAAGAGTCTGAGTCCTGAGAACTTTATTTAGACTTTTCCAGATAATCTTGAATCATTGTTCTGTGATCTGAATAACTCATATCCACAATCGCCACCCTTTCCTGTTTACGTGAAATGAGTCTTTATCACGAGTCTCCAATGAGATCTTCTGTCTGAATTTGCACAAAATCTTGCTTACACTTTATTTTAAGGTGTCATTGTCACTATGTAATACATTTAAGGACTGAGTAATAATACGTAGTTAACTGCATGTACTTGCTATAGGGTTATGATTAGGGTGTGTTTTGTGGTTAGTTGCATGCAATTATGCATAATTTATAGTAATTACTAAAGTAACCATGTGTAACAAGGACACTGTGAAATAAAGTGTTACTGAAATCTCTCTCCTGCAGAGAACCATGTTAAGTTGAAGCTCATTTCCCCACAGATAATGATCGAGTTCTGCCCCGGGGGTGCGGTCGATGCCACCATGTTAGGTAAGACTATAACAGTATATCTGCTAATGTTCTTGTTTTCGTAAAAGACCCCTGCATCTTGCTTTTGATGCTCATGGGGGAGTAGGTAAACGCCCCTTTTTACCCTGAAGTTTAAACAGGATATTGCATTATTTTGGGTGTTTTGTGAGCGAGTCAGTCAAGGTCACTCAGAGTTCATTGCCTTTGATTACCCCGCTTTGCCTCTTGACTCAGAATTTTGTCGATTATGAAGAGGTCACGCTGTAGGACTTGCGTGTGTGTGTATTTAAAGGAATAGTTCACTTCAACGTGAAAACTCTGTCATCATTTACTCGCCCTCAAGATGGACCCCATTGACTTCCATCCATAGTATTTATCTATTTTTATTTTTTTGCTATACTATGGGGTCCATTGACTCTCTGGTTACCGACATTCTTCAAAATATCTTCTTTTGTGTTCAGCAGAAAAAGAAATTCATATACGTTTGAAACAACTTGGGGGCGAGTAAATGATGACATAAATTTGTGAATTATTCCTTTAATATTGACAGAATTGTAAATTTATAGTCTGAAAAACTGTTTATTTTCTGTATTGTATAATATTATATAATTTAATATATTTATAATTACTGATGACAGAATATTCATTTTGAAGTGAACTATTCCTTTAAATTGACATACATTCCCTTTGTTTTGGAGAAAATACCCTTTAATAGTCTTAAAAACTGTTTATTTCCATTTATTATATTAATTATATTACTCAGTATATTATTATATTAATCTATCATAATCATATCATATCAGTTTCTGTTTGATATTTTTCGATATTATGAGATTGACTGGTGTTTGTGTGTGTAGAGTTGGACAGGGGTCTTGAAGAACCTCAGATCCGGGTGATCTGTAAGCAGATGTTGGAGGGTCTTCAGTATCTCCACAGCATGAAGATCATCCACAGAGACCTGAAGGCGGGAAACATCCTCCTCATGCTGGATGGAGACATCAAGCTAGGTGTGTACATCAACAGATCGCTCAGACTGAAGTCAGCATGAAACACAAGTTGTGATAGTCTTTTTTTTTCTGTATTGCATCGTGCATCTGAGTGAAACGGCTTCAAACGTTGTGGAAAATGTTTGGACACGCTACAGCAAAAGATATAAATAACTGGCTTCAAAAAAATGGGGGGTGAAAATACGAATGTGCCTAAGACTTTTGCACATTAGTGTGTGTATATATATATATATATATACATATATATAACAGCATTTGAATCAGGTGTGCGGCTGTAATGCCTTAAAGGAGAACTTCCGGCGCAAAATGAACCTTTGGTCTAATAACACATCGGTACCTAGTCAACCGTTCTCTGAGATTTGTTTTCATGATAATCGAATATAAAGTGTTTTATCTCTAAAAACTGTTTAGAGTATAATGCTAGTATATGGGGGCATATAATAAGTAAAAAGAAATCGCTAGTTAATACCACTAACAGGCTCAAAATAGCACCACACTAACACAGTAACATAATGAGGGTCCATACATGCAAAACGAATAATTGAGAACTTTGTAAGTGTACAGACCGTTTAATAAGAAGTTAATTTATAAAGACACTTTGTGTATACAGGTGGCACCATCTTTGAAAACAGTCTCAGGCCTGGTTCAGATTACGCGATTTTAGCCCGATTCTGGCACGGGGCGCAAGATTCGATCGTATCATCTCAATAGTGTGTCATAGCGTAGACAACCTACGTCGCGTCTGCGACGCTTTACGACATCACGACAAAAAGACTAGCATGTTTAATTTTTTTAACGGTCATCCACGACGGTTCCGTCACATGTATGATGTTGACCAATAGGAGCACAAGCTTTTCTGTACACAACTTTCAAAAATGGCGAAACGATGGTACTAACGTTAAAACTAGAAGTAAAAATATATAAGAAAACAATATTTTACCTCAAGTTCTCCAATACTGTCCTCTTCGAGCAGGGTTCTCAAGTCTCACGCAATGGCCGTGATACACACACAATTAAACCAGTTCATACACTCACACGTCACACCGTCTATTTCTCACGCTGAAAAGGCAATGCCGAGCAATCCAGGAAGTCACTCGTTACGAGTTTCGCCTTCTTCATGACATCACGCATGGCATTAAACGTGGCATGCGATGACTGGTCAGGAAGTAACGTGTAGTCTGACATGTTGTCTTGTCCACGACACGATTTTAGGAGCCGAAATCGCGTAATCTGACACAGTGACTATCGTAACAGACAAAAAAAATCGTAATCAGTCGAACCACGAACGCTCAAAGATACAGCGCGCTTGGAATAAACTACGCATTTAACGACATATTACTAAATAACAAGAGGAATGTCGCCCAACGTAACAAGGTAAAGGTACAGTTTTATTTTTTCATTTGAAAGATAGGCCTACTCGAGTTAAATTAAGTAAAAGTCCCCACATTTAAATCTAAAAAAAATAAAAAATCCTCAAGTAAATGTAACTTAGTAAATGTAGGCCTACTTCGGTTCTGTTTGCTAATGATGATGACCGGCCTCATTCGCTAAAGCTAACGCTTCCTACCGTTAGCTGAGGCCGAGCGTATGCGATAGAGGCCAGAGTTAACGGTGGTTAGCTCCTTGACACCGGCATTCTTAGCTCTTTTAAAAAAGCTTAAAAAATTTATTCGCGGGACGTTTTTAATAGCAGCCGCTTGTTTCTCTTCCTTTTCCTTCTTTTGTTTTTCTCTTGGCAGCCCCGCTGGCCTTTATTTTTTATTCTGACTGGATACTTGTCAAGATCGAGGCCATGCCTTGTGTATAATATTTTTATGTAGCGCAAATAAAAATAAAAAAACGCGATTACGCGCAAGCCAAGAGCCCCTGTGCCCGTATGGTAGATCCGGCCCTGGCCTTAACATGTTGTCTAGATAGGCAACGCACTAGGTGAAGTCACAGTGACCTTTGGTTGAGCGTAGTGTTTTGTGTCTGTGCTATTAGATCTCTTACTAATTCTTATGACCTCTCTCACACTTTCTCTCTCACACACACACACACACACTCGCTGTATTGTTGTAGGTTGTGTTGTAAAGCACCAGATTTTGCCAAGAGCTGACTTATAATATTTCATTACACTTCACTTCTCAAGTCTCATTGGATTGAGTAATTCAATGAGAGAATTATTTCCCCTGAATGCTGTTTAACGTGTAACCCAATGTGGCTTCATTGTGTGTTGGCTAATGGCACCCCAGAATGCCGGGCCAAGACTCTCTGGCCTTTATCACTTCCTGCGAGAGAAACTTTAAACAGGCTCATGTTCTTCAGATGCTGGTCCTCCAAACATTTCTGTGGACTATATTTGCACTCTATGCATTCGCTATCCAGTCAATTGAGAATATCAAAAAATGCAGTCGACATATGATTATTATTACTATTTGAAATAACACAATAATAGAAATGTAATATACTCATTATTTTATAAATATTATAATAATAAAATATATTCTAATATTAATAACAATAACTTACATTTTCTTACAGATGCTACAACAGATTTTTATTCCATTTCAATCCAGTCCTTTTAAACTTTTTATTTATTTATCAAAGAATCACAGTTTCCACAAAGGTATTAAGCTGCTAATTTTTTTTTATTATTATTGATTATAGTCATAAATGTTTCTTGAGCAGCAAATCAGCATGTGAATTATTTCTGAAGGATTAGGTGACACTGTAATGTGTAATGATGCTGAAAATACAGCTTCGACATTACAGATAGATAGATTAAATAAATGCTATTTTACTAGGGCTGGGTATTGACACAAATTTCACAATTCGATTTGATTTCGATTCAATATGATTATTTTGGATATCAGTTACAATAAATGGCAAATTTTCTCAAGGGAATCAAATCTCTTAACTAATGCTGTAAACTATGGGAGTCTAGTTGTAGCCTATAGGCTTCATTAGCCTAATATGAAGGTAATAATGAACTGTTTTATAGCTATACAAAACACTTAAATTACACTTTTATTTATTTTTATAATAAGAAGATTATGAAATATAAACATTTAAATGGTGGTTGTCATAAAAACTTGCCAGATTTATTCAAATATGCATTAAATATTGAAGAACACTAACGAGTGTGGACTAACGAGTTTGTGTGGGTTTTCTGAGGTAAATATGACGATGACATTGATTACAAGCTGTTTAACTGACGTCTTTCCACGGTTGAAACGCTGATTGAGCGAATCAATGTGACATGATACGGATTTCGATAAGTTGTACTCTATCTTTAACACACTTTCAGAAGCTCATTCATGTTTATTTCGCGCTGTAACTGGTTTTATTAACCCGGAAGAGAGATCAGCGCTGCTGCTTCTCTTGAGCTCCGCCAGAGCGATCTCATCTCACGCCACAGCGCCTAAACACTATTTATGTTTTTGACTTTCTAAAGAAAATCGACGTAATTTGAGAAAATGACTTTGTTTCATATCAATAGTAACAAAGGGCAAAGATTATTGCGATTTTTTTCGGATGCGCTCAGCCGCAAAACATAGTTCAATTCATTCAAATGAAACAGGATGATTAATCGATTCTTGAGATTTAAGAATCGATATCGGTTCGTAAAAATGAGAATCGATTAGTATCGAGAAATCTATATTTATTACCCAGCCCTATATTTTACTGTATTTTTGATGAAATAAATGCAGCCTTGGTGAGCAGAAGAGACTGATCCCAAACTTTTGAATGCTAGACTGTAATGATATCCCTCCTAAGACTTGATCTATAATAGTTTAACAGTGCTTTCTATCCCTCCTGTATTCTCCAATGAAAATCATACAATAATTCAGTCCTCATTTTTACATCATTTGACGTTATTTGTAGAGAAAAGCCTTTTATGTAAGCCACTCTTAGAGAGTGCCCTATACAGATGACGTCAACTCTCGATTTGGGGGTTTTGGAGGTTGTGACCATTTTGAAACTGGGACAAATCCTTAATACTAATAATTCAACATCTCTTATTTTTGTTACAGCGGATTTTGGAGTTTCGGCAAAAAACACCAAAACCCTTCAAAGGCGAGACTCTTTTATCGGGACTCCATATTGGTAAGTGCTAAAACTTCACTGTTTAATGATCAAAACAAATATTTTCAGAGCGAATATCTTTGGTTGTCGACGTTTCACTGCATCGCTACAAAATATAATTAACATAAGTAGAATGAATGGTTACAGGTTTCGTGAGTTTCCCATAAAGGTAACAGAAATATGCTGATAGATAGAGGTCTTGTCATATCCCACAGGATTTAAAGCAATCATTAACTAGTGTGTAGCTTGATGTGAAATATCTGCCCTACCTTTGTCCTTCCTCTGAGCACACACACACACACACAGGAGCTAGTGGATATTAACGTCTTCTTATCTGACTCAACAATCTTTATCAGTTTTATTAGTGACTTGTAGTAAATTCTTTTAGTCGCCGGCTAAATATCTGCAGACATGTTTCCGTACTGGGAATGTACGGTAGTCAAAGTTTGAAGTGGATCAAAAAAGTTATACATTTTTGAACAATACTCAAAAGGGCTGCCACTTTTGTGAGAAAATCCTGTTCGATTTACGCGTTCATTAAATCGATTTTCCATGTCTAAAGACGTTTCTATTTTCAGCACCAAATACAGGCAAATCCACGGACACCTAACAGGCATTAGGACGAGCGTAAAGAGGAACAAGTCAGCAATATTCCTGATGATTTATTGCCGTAAAGCTTCGTCCACAATGACAAACAGGAGCGCAACATTCAGGGATTGAGATTAACACCCTCGATCCGCCAAATTTGCGTAAAAAATGAATTTGGCGGGAAACGCTGTCCAATCACAAGCCAATCTGGTGTTTATATGTTTACTCACTTTGCTGGGGAAGTTCGTGTAAGGGAAATCTGCGCAGATTTAGTGCAAATACGCAACTCGTGATCCTCATGATATATTAAATACAGCGTATTGCACAGAATCTGCTCATTTCTGGCTTACTTGAACACACACGTCACTACACAACACATAATGGCGCGCTTGTTCACTTGCATTGACGTAATGGCGAATATTAAAAAGCATTTGGTGAACAGAAAAGACATTGTTATTTTCCAACATCATTTATGTTCTGTGTGCTGTATAAAATCGATTCCCTATTTTCACTTTCGAATGTGTTGGTTGATTGTGCAATCGATTTTCGAGCGTAAAGTGACAGCCCTGATAGCCATTCTTGTCAACTTTATTTTGATCCCCTTCAAATGTTGACTGTGTTCGAAGCTTTCGTGGTGATCTAACTGTAATATCTCCTGTGTGTTCAGGATGGCTCCAGAGGTTGTGATGTGTGAGACCATGAAGGACGCTCCGTACGACTATAAAGCGGACATCTGGTCACTGGGCATCACCCTGATAGAGCTGGCTCAGATCGAGCCCCCCCACCATGAGCTGAACCCCATGAGGGTCCTGCTGAAAATCGCCAAGTCTGAGCCGCCCACCCTGGATCAGCCCTCCAAGTGGTGAGCCGCGAAAACCCCGATTTCACTGACATTATGAGATTCCTGTGCTCTGAGCATAGTTGTGGCTTTTTACTTTGATTTATAGCTCTTGACATTTCCAGAATATCGGCATCGAATGTTATTTTAGCACTTTGAAATTAATTTTTGGTATGTTTTAGCTTACCTCAAGGGCATCCAAGATGTAGGTGTCTTTGTTTGCGAAGTAGTTTCAATTTTAATATTTTTAGGTCAAAGCGTTGTTGACAGAGAAGTTCAAATTAAACTTGATTTAATGACTCATAAATGAAAATACACATTGATGGCCTAAGACACGAAATGAGCGGTTTGTGTGAGAAAACGAACAGTATTTATATCGTTTTTACCACAAAGCGCCCGCGTCCTCAGGTCACTTGGACGTGCTGTGTACCGCTCGTTTCGTGTCTCAGGCCATCAATGTGTACTTACATTTACGAGTCATTAAATCATGTTTAATCTGGACTTCTCTGTGCATGCTCTTTGAGGTGGTGACCATAGACCTCCATTATATGACTGACAGACAACAACGGTTTGACCTAAAAATGTCAAAATTGAAAATACTGCGGAAACAAAGACACTAGACACAGCTAAAACATGCCAAAAATTCATTTCAAAGTGAACTATCCCTTTAAGAGATTGTATTGGGCAAATGTTGAAGGGTTTTGTGTGTTTTAGGTCAATGGAATTTAACGATTTCCTGAAAAAAGCTTTGGACCGAAACCCTGAGACGAGGCCGACGGCTGCTCAGCTTCTAGAAGTAAGGAGTTCACACACACAGACACTTGTAACACACATTATATTATCTCTCTCTGCTGCAGTCGCTCGCAATGTATTGTAAGGCATTTTAAGACGGTATGTGCAAACCACAGCAGAACGTCTTATCAAGGCAGTTCTCGCTTCCTGTCCGCTCTGGGTCAAGGGACTTACAGCAATTTTCACTCTTCCTTTTGGATATTTCTTCACCTCCACCCCATCAGAAAAGAGGAACTGAACAATTGAGGAGTTTACGAAATGAAAAACGTGCAGTAGATGTGCTGAAGACCCAGAATAATCCCCAAGTTACATTTTGACTTTGGCGAATTGGACTTTAGTGACACTTGCTAGTAATTTAATTAGAAACTCTCACACAATAGTTGACATCACATTGTAAGACCGACGATCTGACCGGAGATACGTGAAATATCGTCATCGAAATGCTTTTTCCTCACTGGACGATTTACTTTACTTTCAAACATATCATTAAATGTTCATATGCTAACTAGTTGCTTATTAGCATGCATTTTACGAGCTTATTGGCTGTTTTTTAGTACCTATAAAGCAAATATTAATACCTTATTCTGCATGACCAGATTCTACATTCCTTAATCCACCCAATACCTAAACCTAACATAACTATACTAACTATTAATAAGCGGTAATTAGGAGTTAATTGAGGGAAACCTCCTAGCTAGTAGTGAATATGTTAATTAAATATGGCTGTCGTAATTAAAGGAGTAGTTCACTTTAAAAAAAACTTTTGCTGATAATTTACTCACCCCCATGTCATCCAAGATGTCCACGTCTTTCTTTCTTTAGTCGAAAAGAAATGAAGGTTTTTGATGATTTTCTCCATATAATGGATTTCAATGGGAACCAAACGGTTCAAGGTCCAAATGAGAGTTTCAGTGCAGCTTCAAAGGGCTTTAAACGACACCAGGCGATGAATAAGGGTCTTATCAAGCGAAACTATTGGTCATTTCACAAATAAATAAAAATAAGTTTTAAACTTCAATTATTCAACAATATCGATTATGTTATTCAATTTCTGTGTGATTTATTACTTGAATGCTGCTGTTAAATAGATGTAAAATGAAAAAAAAGAGAAAATGATGAGGTTTAATGTCTTATCTTTTATTTATTCAAAAAATAACTTTATTGTGATTATTAACATAGTAATTATTATTAATAAAAGAATTGGAGGAAAAGATGCATCGAAAACCGATTTATAATCTATTTGATACTCTTCGAATCATAATTGAATCGTGAGGAATGTGAAGATTCGATATTGGCAAGTGTTAAACAGTAAACTGTGGAGATCTGCATATGCATTAGCATGCATATTACTAGCTTATTGGCTGTTTATTAGTACTTATAAAGCACTTATTCTGCTGGCCACTGAAGATAAAGTGTTCACTCTCCTGTTCTGATGTCACTCTCGCTTCTGGGTTTCATATTACATCTTAATTTAATGCTCTGCTGCGTACAGAGCAACCTGAAAGACAGGTGGTGGATGAAGGTGAAGAGGTTACACTGATATTCAGTACATGCTGTCCTGTCAAGAGTTGAATGCTAAGTTCATATATCACTTCTATCCTGAGTGGTGAACATTACCACAAAGTCTTTATAAGCTGGTTTGTAGTTTATATTCATCATCGAAATATCCTTAAGAAACCTTAAATAAAAGAATTTGGCTACATATTTGTGCATGTTCAGACACAAAGGCTTCTTAAAAATCTTATAATAAAGTCTTAAATTCAGTTTGATTAATTTAAATGAGTAGTTCACTTAAAAAAAAAACAAAAAAACTGTTGCTGATAATTTACTCACCCCCATGTCATCCAAGATGTCCATGTCATTCTTTCTTCGGTCGAAAAGAAATGAAGTTTTTGATGAAAACATTCGAGGATTTTCTCCATATAATGGACTTCAATGGGGTCCAAACGCATCAGGGTCCAAATGAGAGTTTCAGTGCAGCTTCAAAGGGCTTTAAACGTCAACAGACGATGAATAAGAGTCTTATCAAGCGAAACGATCACTCATTTACAAAAAAATAAAAAACTACGTTAAGTTTCATAAGCACAAATGCTCGCCTTGCTCTGTTCTGTGATGCGCGTTCGTGACTCTCCTGTTTGAACTCGTTCATCAAAATGAACGAATCTTATTTCGAGTGATTTGGTTCATTCAACGAACGAAATGACTCGAAAAAGGATTCATTCATTTTGATGAACGAGTTTGAACAGGAGAGTCGAGCAAGGCGTGCATTTGTGCTTATAAAACTTAAATTTTTCTTATTTATTTTTTAAATGAAATGTTTTACTTGATAAGACCCTTATTCGTCGTCTGGTGTCGTTTAAAGCCCTTTAAAGCTGCACTGAAACTCTCATTTGGACCTTGAACCGTTTGGTTCCCATTGAAGTCCATTATATGGAGAAAAATCCTGGAATGTTTTCATCAAAAACCTTCATTTCTTTTCGACTGAAGAAAGAATGACATTGACATCTTGGATGACATGGGGGTGAGTAAATTATCATTATATATATATATTTTTTTTTTAAGTGAACTACTCCTTTAAGGTCGTAAAACAAAATCCAATCGACCCTCTAATTCATATACATTGATGGTAAATATATTTATATATTAACTTATAGTTAGCCTGTTTTGCAGTTGCATGTTTAGAAGAATGTCTGAGATTTATTTAGAGATTCTATGGGTTTGGCTTATATGGACATACAGCATTCATGTTCTTATAAAAAGGTCTTCATAGGTGTTCTTTAAATGCTATTATTTTAAAAAAAATTCCTGGGAATCAATCCCTTGACCTCGCTGTTGCACGTAATGTTCCTGTATCTCACATTATCCAGTATGACAGTCTGAATTGTGATGGTCTACAGTATTTCTGACCTCTCGTGCAGTTTCAGATATATCGTGCGTGTTGTTTTGCTGCAGTGTTTCTTTATGAGCTGTGCTTATTTGTTTTCTTGACTGTCATCGGTGAGGGTAAGTGATACTGCTGGCTGTATGTTTTTAACGCTCGAGTCCCCCTCTCATGCGCTCGGCAGCTGGGACACTTCAATTAAACAAGGTGCAACTCGGCTGAATAATAGATGAGAGCAGCGTTCCTCTTCGTTACACTGATGCCTTCACAGTTCAGCGCAAGTCTAACTCCGCTGACCCACTAATTAATCCTCACATCAATTTTTTTTTTCAATGACCTGCCACTTTTGCTAATTCCAGGTGGATTTCAAGTAAAATAACATGCTTACACAAATTCCACAACAATGTGAGGAGCCGAGAACTTTTGCGTTTCGGTCCAAACCACAAATATTTGACTAAATGTAATAAATGAGTAAGGGATAATCCACGGCTAGCTCTGCATTACACAATTTGAATGCATGACGCAGTTAATACACTGCTATCCCAGATAGCAAACTGACATTGAATCAACGTGGAAATATGACATCGAAACAACGTTGATCTGACATTGTTTTGCTCATCGAATTAACGTTGAACCAACGTCAGATGCGTCATTCTTTCAAAACTAACGGAAAATCAACTTGAAATCAACGCGTTGTTTCAACGTTATGAAAGCAAACCAATTTTCGATTTCATTTAGCTTTGAAGAATGCCGCGTCTGACGTTGGTTCAACGTTAATTCGATGAGCAAATCAACGTTGTTTCAATGTCATGAGAGACGTCGTTTCCACGTTGATTCAATGTCAGTTTGCTGTCTGGGATACTGCTTAGGCCATGGTCGTTTGCCAGAATTAACAAGTTAAAGTTGTCATTTATGTTTGCATAGTTAAATTTGACTGAAAGAGGTTAAAGGAGAACTCCGGCACAAAATGAACCTTTGGTCTAATGAAACATCGGTACCTAGTCAACCGTTCTCTGAGATTTGTTTTCATGATAATCGAATGTGAAGAGTTTTATCACTAACACAGTAGCATAATGAGGGTCCACACATGCAAAACGAAGCATTGAGAACTGTGTAAGTGTTCAGACCGTTTAATAAGAAGATACTTTATAAAGACAGTCCACATCGCCATCTTTGGGAAACAGTCTCGACAAGTCGATCCCTGAACGCCGTTCAGAAGTTCGCCAAACTTCATACAGTTCAGATCACTCAGCACGACGTTCGTGGTTCGACTTGTCGAGACTGTTTTCCAATGATGGCGCCACCTGTATACACGAAGTGAACTGTCTTTATAAAGACAACACTTTACAATACGGGTGCACTAATATGCATTAATTCATGCTTAACTAATGCACAGATAATGTATAACTCATGAAGAACTAAACCATTAATTAATGATTACTGCATCAGCAACTAATAAAGAGTCTATATGATTAATAGATTAAGTAATACATGAATTGCTATTAATTCAATGTGTCATTGTGTATCAATTCCTTAACATATTTTACCAACTAATGGTGTAAATTAATGTGTTAATTACCACAATTAGTCAAAGCTATGCACTTCAACTTCCAGTTGTCTGCTTTAATTAATCATTAGCTAATGATTTGCAAAGGTATCATTATGTTATGACTTTACTTGTTGGGGCACATCATTATTAACTAGTCATTTAGTAATTTTAGTAATTTGCTCATGAATTTGCACTAACAATGAAGTAATTAATCATCTATTAATGCATATTAGTGTCATATTATGAAAAAAATATATACTATGGAAGTCAATGAGACCAGAAACTGTCTGGTTACTGATATTCTTCTAAATATCAAAAAATCGGCTGAATATATTCGAAAATAGGGCTGGGCAAAAAAAGAGATTTTTCGATTAATCGTTTTTTAAAATGTGGTCGATTCAAAATCGATTCTCAACGGCCACGAATCGATTTTTTCCATATAAAGGGCTCGCGGACACGGTGCTGCATCTTCTCGTCTCTCTGCACTAGGCAAGCGCCAAGCGCTGCAGCTGTCGATACACACACGCGTTTAGGAGTCGGGACACGACGGAATATTCACTTGCACAATCGGGCCAGCATTGCATCGTGACCTATGATCGTAACTAACATTTATCATTCATTTGCTCAAGCAATGTTAAACCATCCCGTGCTCGCGCACTCTCAGAGATTTCTTTCACTGCGTGCACAGCCTAAATCCGCCTCACAAACAGCTCGCCAGAAACAAAAGTTTTATCCCTGGATTATATCACTTTAACAGTTAAAACACGCGACATTATGTCAAAACTCTGGTCTTGGTGAGTAACCTCGTAAAGACAGTCGGTAATGTCTTAAATTAGCATTAAACGCGTGTGACAGAAAGTTAATGAAACAGTATGGATTAGCGCACTAGTTCTTAAAGTGAACGCAGCCATTTGTGTCAGTCATTAATTCTGTTGTCATAACAACAGAATATAGTATTAATTGTAAGCAATCAGAATTAATAGCCTTTGTATTTAATTCAGTCTGGATTCATACCCAAAAAACTACCTCAAAATGTCTCTTAATTTTTGTCTTTATTCTATTGTATTTATTTGTGCTACTTTTTTCAATTTAATTCAAAGATTGAAATCAAGCATCCATACATAAACTCTTAACAAAAAAAATACATTAACATTTAGGTAAGATCAATGTAAAAAATCTAAATATTTATATATTTATCTATCTTAAACATAAAATAACATGATACTGTTTGATCAAGCTGTGCGACTGTTCTGTGCGACTGTGTGACTCTTTTTTGCATATTGCATCAAAATCTTTGTATGCATTTAGTGTTCCTAAAATAAAAAGTGTTTTATATATAGGTTTATGGCTCTTAATTTTCTTGTATTAATTAACCACTAGTAAACTTATGTCCACTGTTCTTTTTTATAAATTATAAATATAGGATTTTTATTACATCTTCATTATAGTTGAATCGAGAATCAAATCAGGAATCGAGAATCGAAAATCGAATCGAGAATCGAAATCGAATCGAACTGAGAGCTTGCGAATCGAAATCGAATCGAAATTGAAATGTGAATCGATACCCAGCCCTATTCGAAAACGGTAAAACTCGACTGTTTAACTCTGGGGGAGTTGTAAAATGAGCCTATTTCCAAAAAAAGTGGAGAATCCCTTTAAGATGGCGTGTGCATGTTATTGTCATTTTGGAGTTTGTACCGCTACAAAGAACTCTGTCTAATCTTTCCGCGTATGTTCTGCGTTTCAGCATCCTTTTGTGAGTTCAGTGAAGACCAACCGTCCATTGAGAGATCTGGTGGCGGAGGCCAAAGCTGAGGTGATGGAGGAGATCGAGGACAATCACGAAGAAGGAGAAGAAGAAGACCCTGCTGATGTCACTCCTGTAGAGGTCTTGACACTTCTCTCTTACGGCACACCTTCCAAATGTCTCTCTATCGTAAATCTCTCAGAGAGAGGAAAGATAATGCACTGCTAATGGAAAGAGCTCAGGGCGTAAAGAGCGACGCATTTGTTTAGTGCTTTGACAACTCTAACTGTTATTGCATGGAAAGTTTATTGTACGCTTCAGTGCAGGTGTACCTGTGAAGGGCAAAAACACTGCGAACAGCACAACGTGCCACCAACTCAATGAATTATGCAGATATGTGCTCGTTTGGGTTATTAATACACTCTTTGTAATGCTGCAGTGTATGCAATATGTATTGTATACAGTATGCACATTTTTTATGCATAAAATATCTGGATAATATGCTACATTTGCCAGCCTAAGCAGTATACAACAGAGCACAGAATGTCGTATCCCACAATGCAGTGTTCCTCTTAACTTTCCTTATTGTAAGTGTGTTGAATTAAGCACAGCCACTATTTTTAACTCTTAAATCGACTCATTGGTTTCAACAAAATTGAATTGAAGATGCAAAAGATCTGTTTTGATTTTAAACTTGCTGAATTTAACATGCAAAATATCAAGGTCACGTGATCACTAATGTTTATCGTTAAACTATTTTTTTATGTTTTTGAAAGTCTCTTCTGCTCACTAGGGCTGCATGTAATTACAAATACAGTAAAGACAGTATTATTTTGAAATATTTTTACAATTTAAAATCTATTATGTTCTATTTGAGTTTATTTTCAAATGTAATGTATTCCTGTGATCGAAGCTGAATTTACAGCATCATTACCCCAGTCTTCAGTGTCACATGATCCTTCAGAAATCATTGCTGCTCAGGAATCATTTCTGATTATTATTATTATTATTATTATCATCAATGTTGAAAGCAGTTTTTGCTGTTTAACATTTTTGTGGAATTGGTGATCATTTTTTTCAGGAATCTTTGAGTAGAAAATTTCAATCAATGAACAGAATTTTTTAAAGCATTTATTAACTAGAAATCCTTTGCAACATTTTAAAGGTCTTAGCTGTCACTTTTGATCAATTTAAGGCAACCATGATGAAGAAAAGTAGTAATTTTTACCACACTGAAAAAAATAATATGCTTTATCGAATCAATAAAATTGTGGCAACATATTGCAAGCAATATTATTAATTAAATTGTACAAATCAGAATTAATTAGAATATTAATTTGATTAAGTATTACTCAATTCTAATTTGTTCAATTTAATAAATAATATTGCTTGTAATCTGTTTCCACAATTTTATTGATTAGATAAAGCATATTCTGATACACTGATACTAATAATAAGAAATGAAAGCCAGTAGTTTTCCACTGGGCGCCACTACCCTAATGTCACACTGTGACCATGTTGTCAACACTGCATGTATAATTATACGAACAGAACATGTGTCCCCCACCCAACTTTCACATTAACGTCTCCATTTAAAGATATACTCTAGGCTGTTGTGGTCAAATGGCACAATGGTACGAATGTTCAAAAATAACTCTTAATACACTTCCTCTTCCACTTCTGGCCTTCAACCATGTAGAAATGAAACAAAAGACACGACATCCACATTTCTTTAGAGTTAAATAAAGCATAGGACAATTAGTCCCTCTTTTTGCAAAGGACACAGTGGCCTGTGGCTGTGTATGAGCTAACTGTCAGTCTCTGGCCTGTATGTTTTCTCAGTCCATTTTAGTTCAGGCACTGGAGACTTTCCTTTTTATAAAACCAGCCATAGTTTTGCTGGTTTACTCTAGTCACCTTCATTTATACAGAATAGGCTAGTGCTTTTAACCATATTGATTGTTTCAGAGCTGCTTCACAGTGATGACGGGGATTGTTTTGCTCTAGAATAAACTTACTGTCCAGCTAAATTAAGTTTTTAATTGACTCATGCAAAGATCATTAGTTATTAACTTAGGGGGCGCTAACACCGCACCGTTTTAACTGAAAACTAGGGCTGGGTATTGACACAAATTTCACAATTCGATTCGATTTCGATTCACAAGCTTGCAATTCGATTCGATTTCGATTCAATATTTATTATTTTGGATATCAGTTACAATAAATGGCAAATTTTCTCAAGGAACTCAAATCTCTTAACTAATGCTGTAAACTATGGGAGTCTAGTTGTAGACTAGGCTTTATTAGCATAATATGCAGCGCCAAAACGTTATTTATTTTTTTGAATTTCTAATTTGAAAATTGAGACTTTGTTTCATATCAATAGTAACAAAGGGCAAAGATTATTGCGAATTATTTATTTATTTATTTTTATTTTATTTATTTTTTTGGACGTGCGCAGCCGCGATACATAGTTCAATTCATTCAAATGAAATAGGACGACTAATCGATTCTTGAGATTTAAGAATCGATATCGGTTCGTAAAAATGAGAATCGATTAATATCGAGAAATCCATATTTATTACCCAGCCCTACTGAAAACGTTCATTTGTACGACAACTGTGTTTGGTGGTTCGAGAACGCAAATAATAACCTGGGGGGCGTTTGGCCTACATGTATAACAGATAGTATTGTATATTTCTCAGTGGGACTGACAGAGCGGTTTATTTTGAAGAAAGAAAAGATAATTGTCATGGTTTTATGTTGCATAAGCCTCATTCTGTGTGTGTTCTTTCTAGGCTCCAGTCAAAGACCCGTCAGAAACCAGTGAGACCAGTTCATATGGGGAGCATCCGCACGACGCGCGTCCCACCGAAACTCCAATGGTGATCGAGGAGGAGCTCAGGTCCACCGAAACCCCTTCGAAAGAGCAGGAGGACAATCTCAGCGACAAGTTTGCAGAGGAAGACCATGACAAACCTGAGAGCGAGGCGTCGGGCAAGGCCTCCTGCTCCGACTCCGGGATCGAGGATGGGAAAAGCACGCCCACCTCTGAGGAGGACACCAAAGCGGTCGAGAGCTCAGAACCAGAACTTCCTTCAGTGAGGACCGCCGAACCTTCAGAGTCTTCCTCAGACACCAAGCCATCAGAGAAACCAGAGGAAGAAGCTCACAGTGGAGAGATGCCTAACCAGCAACCATATCCCATGCTGGACCAGACGTATCCCAAAGAGCCGGCCAATCGTGTGTCTGTGGTGAGCGACAGGTCCTCTTTGGCTGGTGAGGATCTGGAAAGTTTGCTTCCTCACACAAACGGCAGGTTATCAAAACGATACTCTGATGTGGCCAGTGAGAACATGGACATCAGCCTGAACCTGTCAGGTGATCTGTCTGTCAACAAGGAAATGGGCACCATCTCTATAAGGGTAAGTCTTTTACATGACACAGATGTACTAAAAACTGAAATGTTTTTCCTCTGCATTTTTGTTTCGCGTCCAGAAAACGATCCAGTAGTTGGCGATGTCACTTTGTAAAGATACAATACACTCTTATAGACTTATAGAACACTTAATATGCATGACGTCACCGTTTTCACAAATTCACGTCGTTTTGTCATTTACACAGTCAATACTGGTATCATTTTCAAAAACTTGCCCTTTGAAACCCATTTTCATATGAATTGCATTTTAAGTAGAGCCAGACCGATATATCGGCAGGCCGATATTATCAGCCGTTATTAGGCATTTTTCAAACTATCGGTATCGGCAGTTATAATGGCAAATAAATGAATATTTCAAAAATGAAACAAAAATGGACGAAACACGTTTGAACCATGTCATGAGTGTTGGAGTTGTATAGTTTGTCCACCAGAGGGCACTCTACACCGTCCCTGTTGGTAACACTCGTTGAGTTGGTCACGAGACATACATTGCTTGAATAACAATTAAAAGACCATCCCCATCAGTTCTCTTCACTCAAATAAGCATGACAACATTTGTGACTATCATGTCCAGAGAGTGAAGCGGAATTAGCTTGTAATCGTTACGTTACGTTGTTAGTGTAGTTGACTGACTGTCCTTTTAACTTTTGACAATGTGACTAAAGTATTTCTTTAATAGTGCGGGACAGTTTTAGCAATGAGACGCATCATCTCTCCTTGGCCTGTTAAATTGAAAATGTATGTTTTACAATTTGCGGTATGACGTAATCCATTGCTAAATTATGGCTCAGCATAGACTAGCTAGCTAACCACAAAGCTAGCTAATGCCACTATCATCAGTCTGTTCTGTTGTGACAGTAAAAGAAACATGTTTCTTTTTAAAATGTATTTTTAAAATAAAATCATATTATTTTAGTTAAAACTCATAAATAACTACAAATAACTAATGTTAGGGAAATCTGTTTGTTTTGTTGCGCGTTTCTGAAATAAAATAAATAAATAAAAAAATATTGGCAGATATATCGGAATAACGGATTTTAAAACCAAAAAATATTTGTATCGGTATCGGCCTTCAAAATCCTTTATCGGTCGGGCTCTAATTTTAAGGCCCCCAAACCCCCGCTCAGTGTTGTAGTACTCAAGACTCGGACTCGTCTCGGACTCGGTCTCGAGACCATATTTTAATGGTCTTGGTCTTGTCATGGACTCGTGTCCATTTGGACTCGGAATTGACTCGTACTCGAACATTTTTTTTTTTTAGGACTCGGACTTATTCCCGAGTCCACTCGAGTTCAATTAAAAATATTTTTCATGATTATTAATGTATGTTAATAAAATATTTCTTTAAATTGATTGACACGCCCAGTGATTGGTGATTTTCTAGTGCGCAACTGCGCATGACAAATTGTAATAAAATTACTTTCAACACCACCTACTATGTGGCCTTTTTACCCTAAACTGATCATATTTTTTAAACTCAAAAAAAAAAAAAAAGAAGAATTTCTCTAAGTAAAAGTAAATTAGGTAATCAACCCTCACTGGTCTCGGTCTCGACTCGGACTTGACTGTCTCTGGTCTCGGACTCGACTCTCTATGGACTCGGTCTTGACTCGGACTCGACTCTCTCTGGTCTCGGTGTCGACTCGGACTCGAGTGAGGTGGTCTCAACTACAACACTGCCCCCGCTGTCGTGTCAATGAATGGACAAAATTTATACATTTTTTTTGTTTGTTTGTTTTTAGTAGGGTTGCACGATATATCGGCCACCATATCGGTATCGGCCGATATATGTTCATTTTTAATGTTATCGTTACCGGCCCAATAAGAAAATTTGGCCGATAAATAATGGATTATTTCCTCCAGCTGAGACACTTTGATGTTTTTTTGCTTGAAATATGATTGGAAAAGGGGAAAAAACAGTCAACATGTGCAGCACAAGTCTGTGATATAAATGACATAAGATTATGAGAACATTATAATCGTGTGTTTGGGACATTATATAAATTATGTAAAAATTTGGATTTAAATTTATTGGCCAATATATCGGTTTTCGGCTTTCAAATATAAATTTATCGGTTATCGGTATCGGCCAAAATTTTCAAAATGGTGCATCCCTAATTATTATGACATACACTGCTAGTTTAGTATGTGTACATTTTCGTTTTGTTTTTGTATAAATTGGCCATATTTGTGCCAGTAATCTCTAATAAAGCATAGTGATCTGGAAAGTTTCTAATACAAATTGTTTTGGTGCGACTAATGCTTCCCACACATGATTTTAGCGCTGATTTTCCACTTGCCGACAGTTAATGGAGATCACTGGCAAAAGACAAATTTTAAAGGAAAATCTGTGCTCGTTCGCCTGAGTGACGATTGCTGTATTCGAATAATCAAAAACGTAATCTCTCATTTGGCACTTGTTGAATGTTAATTTTAGGCCCTGCATGCTCAAATTCCATAGTTTTATAGAATCCATGTTGTTAGAAACCACATAGATGGTTTCTACCATGGAAGTCCTGATGGTTTAGCAGTGGTTATAGAAGAGCACGGTCCTAGTTGAGCTTTCAGGATATTTTTAATTTTACTGTATTTATCTATTGCACTTCTTATAGTTTTTACTGTTGTTAAGTAAATTTACATCTGCATCCCTACTCAAATTCAATGCTTAAATGTGTTAAATGTGCATTTCCATGAGACAAAACATATAATATTATTAACTTCTTGTTCAACCAAACTAGGGACGGATGCACTGATAAAACATTTTGGGCCGATAATTCTTAATATTTGAAAGCCGGTAACCGATGTATTGGCCGATAAATCTAAATCCAAATTATGATATACATTTTCAAAGCCTAATAACAAAAAAAAGTCCCATGTCCCAAGCACACAATTATAATGTTCTCATAATTTGATGTAGTCTATAATGACACTCTTTAACATACTTGCTTTACTAATACTCTCACTTCCACTCTATGTGGTCCTCTGTTCACGGTCTCCTCAGTCGGGCCACTGTAGAACAGAGCCCAGCTTATGAGAGCTGGTGGAACGTGCTTTGGGCGGGTCGACCGGCATACACACAGAAGTACAGAGAAGGTACAGAGCTCGAACAGAGTCCAGCCTGTCTCACGCATCATGACTGAGCTTTCTCTGCACCGCTGGATGGATCGATGTGTGTGCTTTACATATATTTAAGCCTCAAGTAGCCCTTCATTGACACCAAACCAGAAATGTGTTGGGCTTTGCTTAGCATTGTCAGTAAAACGATTAAAATAGCCGTTATCACGATTCACGAAGAATAAAACTAAAAACAGGCAATACTGTGGCTCCTTAGAAAGGCGTTCTTCGAAATGATGAACCGACTGATTTTAGAATTACAGGTTGCTTTCCTGTATCTTTGCCAAGCGACAGCCCTGCAATTTATGGACAACCCTACAATTTATGCTGTAGTTTCTATTTTATAGGTTTAACAAAGCAAAATCCTGCAAAAACAGTGTTTCCAGGTATCCCTGAAGCCTAAGCAGATTTACAGACAGTTATGTTAATGTTTATAGTATTTTAACTTCATGCCTTCTAACCGCATTCAGCAGATGATAGTGTAGGCGAGTTTCATTTTTGCAACAATACAAGCAATAGACTGATATACTATACAGTATAACTGATCCACTTGAGTATAGACCATTTCACAAGATGTAAGCAACACTGGTCCAGAAGAACTTTCTGTTTCAGTTTTTTAACACTACAAAAAAGCTGGGATAAAATACAACCAACAGAACATTTAAAACTGAATCAAAAAGTTAAACAAACATCTTTAAGATGTTTTCTTTACATGTGAAATAAAGAAAACAGTTACAAACTGAAACAGGAAGTGCTTCTGGACCAGTGTTGTTTACATCTTTTGAAATGGTCTATACCGTGTGTACGTGGATTAATTTGGATATACTATATTCCTCTCTGTTATAATATAGTTTATATTTTGTAACGATATAAATAGTTGCACATTTGAGATTTGCTATATTTCTTTACGTGAGTTTACAGTATGTTTGCAAGTAGAGTAGAGAATGAACTATATATGCAACTTTTAATAAATGGCCGATAATATAGTTTAAAGATTTTGATTTCGATTAGCGCTGTCTGAAAATTCAGCTTTTCCATCACAGAAATAATGTACATTTTAAAATATATTAGGACTGACAAACGATTAATCGCGATTAATCGCATCCAAAATAAAAGTTTGTGTTTACATAATATATGTGGGTGCACTGTATATAATTATTTTTTATATATAAATACACACACATGCTTGTATATATTTAAGAAATATTTTCATGTATATTCTGAATATAGCCTTATATATAATTTATATTATTTATAAATATTTTATATATAAATAATATTTTTTCTTAAATATACATGCATGTGTGTGTGTATTTATATATATATATATATATATATATATACACACACAATAATTATACACAGTGCACCCACATATATTATGTTAACACAAATTTTTATTTTGGATGCGATTAATTGCGATTAATCGTTTGACAGCCCTAAAATATATATTCATTTTTTACTGTATTTTTTATCAATACCATCCCTGATATGCTGTTGATTTACAAAATTATAATAAAAAAAAAATATGTCTCATCTAAAAGATTTAGTTTGAGGTGTGATCATCTAGGTAGAGAAGTTAAACATGTTATATCCGCATAGACTCATCATGAGTGAATCTGCAATCGCCAAATCTGGTGTTGAACCCTGAACATTACTTTAAATGAAGTCAATTCATTTGTTGCATATTTCAAAGTGCACGCCTGTGTCAGATTTTCCATCCATTTCTCTCAAACGCTCTTTGTCTCTGGTCCATTCAGTATTGTGCATCAGTCACTGAGGATTTGTTTGTGACTCCAGAGAACAGCTTCTTTTCTCATGTTTGCCATTTTCCCCGTATGATTCAGAAGTTTAACTCTCTCTTATCCTTTAGTTTTGATGCTGCACGATCAAAAATGGTTCAACAATGATTTTAGCAAACATTAGTGCACATATGCACACTTTACCACCAAAACCACCTCGCAGGAAGTGCAAGATTTGCGCGCTTCGGACAGCAGGCTTCGACTCACTAGCGAGTGTACGGCATGAAGACGACAGAGGATGTGGCTGTTTGCTCAGCTGGGTTAAATAGACACGAGTCTTTGTGTTGTTTGCTGAAAAGTGACGGCATTTATATGACAAGATCCAATAAAATACGATTGCAACTGTGTCTAAATAAATTAAATGAATTCAGTGGCTCTGAAACTACAAAACATCTTTGCCTTTTATGTTAGTTAGTTTGTAATCCAACAAATATAATATATTATTTATTATTTTTTCTCATTACAGCAATGACTTGCTTATTACATTTCCATAAAAAGGATGGCACGATGGATTTGTGAGATTAACCCTCATAATCTCTCAATCATGCGTTCATGAGCCGCTGACACTTCCTGTCAGAACTGGCTTTACAGGATACCAGAAATCGCACTGCTTCCTGTTCATGCCCTTTGTCTCAGTTTCTCATTTCTTCTTTCTTTGTCCAGTCCACCCGTTCCTTACGCTTCTAGTCCTATCAGTGCTAGTTCCTTCACGTTGCCATGCCATGTCCCATCCACAGTTCCCTTCAATCTTGCTACCACACCCATCACAGTTTCTGTTTCTTAGTTTCTCTCATTTAAATGCATTTGTTTTTTTAACAGGACTCCAAGAAGACGCTCAAACGCACCCGTAAGTTCTTGGTTGACGGTGTCGAGGTGAGCATCACCACCTCCAAAATCATCACCGATGATGAGAAGAAAGACGAGGAGATGAGGTTCCTCAGGCAAGTCCACGCCATCACTCGCTTTAATCAAGCTCTTTAAAAAATGAGAAAATTCTCATTCTCACTCATGTAAGACTTTTGTTCATCTTCGGGAACACACACGAAGATATGATTAATGAAATCTGAGGGATTTCTGTCCGTCCGTTGACAGTCTACGCAACTACTACTGTCGCTTCAAAAAAAGTCCATAAAGAGATTGTAAAATGAATCCACATGAACTTAATCAATCAGTTTAGTTCACATTTTCTGAAAACACAATCGTTTTATATGAGGAACAGATTGAATGTAGGCTTTTATTCAAATTAGGGGTGTCAGTTTAACGCGTTATTAACGGCGTTAACGCAAACCCATTTTAACGGCGTTAATTTTTTTTATTGCGCGATTAACGGTCTTGTTTAATGTTTTTCACATGCTTTTGCAACAGGACGCGGCATGCGTCCTGATCCATTTCGGCGTCTCACGCTCGTCATCCACTCAAAGCCGGCTCGCAAGCCCAAACGTGTGTTTGCGGCGTGCCTGTTGTTTTGTTTCCGTTCCAGCTAGATCCGCTTGCGCTTTTTGAAGAAGCAACAAAACGTCCTCGCGCGGCGCAAGCCATTGAAATGAATGGGTTTCAGATTCGCAGCGCGAGGACGTTTTGTGCCGCACACACTCGTTTCGGCTTGCGAGCCGGCCAAATAGTAACGTTACGTTTGAGTGGATGACGAGCGCGAGACGCCGAAATGGATGCCCTAAGATTCGGAATGGAAAGTTTACTTTTAAAAAGTTGCCAAATTGTCCCATTGACAAGACCAAGTGATCTGTGTGTTTTGTCGTTGTGAACTGAGCTATCATCATCGCAGCACATCCAGTCTGAAACACCACTTGATGATGGCCAAGCAAACACACACACACACACACACACAGATGATGCGAATTCTACACCCCCTCGTCAATATCAGGACCTCGTCAGTATTTCTTTCACCCTTTTATTGATAGACAGTGTTACATTGTGTGAGAGATTATTTATATATGTTAGTGTGAAATTGAACACTATTCCAATGTTATTTTCAATAATAATAATAAAAAAACATTTGCACTAAACAAGCCGATCCACTTTTCCATGTTGACAAGAGAATTAAAATGAGTATAAAATAATGTAACAAAAAGAAATCAAAAGACATTTAGAATAGATAAAAATGTGCGATTGATCGTGAGTTACCTATGACATTAATGCGATTAATCGCGAGTTACCTATGACATTAATGCGATGAATCGCGAGTTAACTATGACATCAATGCGATTAATCGCGAGTTAACTATGACATTAATGCGATTAATCGCGAGTTAACTATGACATTAATGTGATTAATCGCGAGTTAACTGTGACATTAATGCGATTAATCGCGAGTTAACTGTGACATTAATGCGATTAATCGCGAGTTAACCGTGATATTAATGCGATTAATCGCGAGCTAACTATGACATCAATGCGATTAATCGTGAGCTAACTATGACATCAATGCGATTAATCGCGAGTTAACTATGACATTAATGCGATTAATCGTGAGTTAACTATGACATTAATGCGATTAATCGCGAGTTAACTATGACATTAATGCGATTAATCGCGAGGTAACTATGACATTAATGCGATTAATCGAGAGTTAACTATGACATTAATGCGATTAATCGCGAGCTAACTATGACATCAATGTGATTAATCGCGAGTTAACTATGACATCAATGCGATTAATCGCGAGTTAACTATGACATCGATGCGATTAATCGCGAGTTAACTATGACATCGATGCGATTAATCGCGAGTTAACTATGACATTAATGCGATTAATCGCGAGCTAACTATGACATTAATGCGATTAATTGCGAGCTAACTATGACATTAATGCGATTAATCGCGAGTTAACTATGACATCGATGCGATTAATCGCGAGTTAACTATGACATTAATGCGATTAATCGCGAGCTAACTATGACATTAATGCGATTAATTGCGAGCTAACTATGACATTAATGCGATTAATCGCGAGCTAACTATGACATCAATGCGATTAATCGCGAGTTAACTATGACATCAATGCGATTAATCGCGAGTTAACTATGACATTAATGTGATTAATCGCGAGCTAACTATGACATTAATGCGATTAATCGCAAGCTAACTATGACATTAATGCGATTAATCGCGAGCTAACTATGACATTAATGCGATTAATCGCGAGCTAACTATGACATTAATGCGATTAATCGCGAGTTAACTATGACATTAATGCGATTAATCGCGAGCTAACTATGACATTAATGCGATTAATCGCGAGCTAACTATGACATTAATGCGATTAATCGCGAGTTAACTATGACATTAATGCGATTAATCGCGAGCTAACTATGACATTAATGCGATTAATTGCGAGCTAACTATGACATTAATGCGATTAATCGCGAGTTAACTATGACATCGATGCGATTAATCGCGAGTTAACTATGACATTAATGCGATTAATCGCGAGCTAACTATGACATTAATGCGATTAATTGCGAGCTAACTATGACATTAATGCGATTAATCGCGAGTTAACTATGACATCGATGCGATTAATCGCGAGTTAACTATGACATTAATGCGATTAATCGCGAGCTAACTATGACATTAATGCGATTAATCGCGAGCTAACTATGACATTAATGCGATTAATCGCGAGTTAACTATGACATCAATGCGATTAATCGCGAGTTAACTATGACATCAATGCGATTAATCGTGAGTTAACTATGACATCAATGCGATTAATCGCGATTAAATATTTGAATCGTTTGACAGCACTAATTCAAATATTGATCAGCGAGCTATAAACAAAAGCTTAACCGGCTTGACGCGCGAGAACAAACCTCATTTGTTTTGTTATTTCTTGCTAAATCTCAAACGTGATGCTTAACACGAGATTTAACCTCATTGGTTCTTGCATGTCAAGCGAACATGCTTAAGCTTCCATTCACCATATGTGGGCGTAGTTGAATGTGTATATGTGAATAAAAGTGGAAGTGTTAGTTATGTGTAGTGTGAATGGTGAGACCGAAAGCTCTCAGATTTCATTAAAAAGAAACATTTGTATTTCAAAGATGAACAAAAGTCTTTCAGGTTTGGAACAACATGAGGGCGAGTACATGATGACAGAATGATGAACTAACCTTTTAAGAGGAAAAGTTTTCTACTTGATCTTGCATCTCAGCTGAGTAAACAGGCTATTTTAGGTCTCAGGTCCAAGACCTTGTCCGTCCCGAATGGGACATTAATACTCAAGGGGAACTTTGTGTACAGCCAGAGGAAGTGGACCACTTTTAAAGGGCAAAACAAGAGCTCAAATCTCCCTTCAACAGATCCATCATCTGAATCCTTGTGAACCTTTCAATCTAGCCTTCTCTCTTGAAGCACCTCAGCTGGTGGTAGTAGATTACACACACACACACACACGCTGCTCTCGGTCCGCACCTACAAACAATGCCACTGCTGCCATCTAGTGGTGTGATCGTGTCCTGCATGAAACACACATAGCACAGCTTCACTTCAGTCTCACAACAAACATATTTGACCTCAAAATCAAAACACAAAATCAGCCTTCTTAATAATAGACTTCATTGTCCTCAAGCAAAATGCAATGTATTTCTTTTGGTTTGGTGATGAAATATGACTGGGGCTTGAGATCTACCCCCACATTAAATATCTGTGTGGAACATTCCTCTGGTCTCTGGCTGTCAGTGAAGTCATGCAATGAACGAGGTGGGGGTGTCTTTCCCATGAGCCCTCTGTAGTGCTCTCTGTGGAAGAACAGACTATTGCTGCATTCTAGACATTCTTTGGTTGGCGGGAGACTTCACATTTTCAGCTTAAAGGGATAGGCCACCCAAAAAAGAAAATTGCGTCATCATCGTTTACTTATGTTGTTCCACTTCTTCTGCTGAACACAAAAGATGATGTTTTGAAGAATGTTAGTAACCAAACACAGTTGTCAACATTTGAAGTGGATCAAAAAAAGCCGTCCTAAGACAAGAACGGGTATTGTTCGAAATTCATGTACTTCCAATGTTGAGTACTGTAGTTTTGGTGCCCATTGACTTCCATTCAGCCATTCTGACGTCTGCGTTGATTGATCCACACAGGCGCCAGGAGCTGCGAGATCTTCGTCTCCTGCAGAAAGAGCAGCATCGTGCCCAGGTCGTGCTCAACCTGAAGCTGAAGGACCAGCGGGAACAGATGCAGCGCAGATTCGACCAGGAGATGAATGTAAGAGTCACAGATCTCCAGCACAAGCAGCTTTACGCTGAACACACTGCGTGTTTGTAGTTGTGAAGCTCACTTTAAAGACGTTATGAACGGGCTTTCTTAAGACATCACATGTGAATGGGGTAAAAAATTTACTATATACATATAAAATATAAACTGTACTGTGTGTGTGTGTGTATATGTCTATATATCCAACCAACGCCAACCAAAGAATGTCTAGAGGACACCTAGTAAACGAGTTCTGGTGAAACTGACTGTTTACCATTCGAAATTAATAAATAAATGCGCTGGCTACATCAAATGTGAGTAACCATAGCAACAGGCAGTCAAAGTATACGTTTACAATACGCACAACCGGCACATCTGGGAACTTAACTGTCAATTTTGTCCCCGCCCCCTTTTGGGGAAAACAAACTAGACTCCCCATAGACTTCAATACAAAATAACAGCAAAAACCAACGTCCGTACACAGCCGACAGGCGTAAATAACTTAAGAAATCACTTATATAAAACATGTCAAGTAATTATATGTCCACCCTGCCTGCCATTAGGGTTGGGTATCGAGAATCGAGTATCGATTGGAACCGAGACTAACTTTTCGTTTTTCCCGGAATCGTTCAAAAGTTAAAATTTCGATTCCTAGTTTCGATATTCACAGTCCGCCGACCTGAAGAAGAAACCGCTGAACAACACCAACGAAGAAGCGTCTACCGGAAGTGTTGGCATAACCACGCGAGTCGAACATGAGTAGCTTACGTCGGCGATCCAAAGTGTGGCTTTACTTTTCTAAAAATAACGAAATCTCGGCAAAATGCAAAATTTGTGACAAAAGGAATATTTGTGACAGAAGGAGTATTTCCTTCAGAAAGGCCGTTGGTTAGCAAGGTTAGCTAAACTTTTTTGACCCTGCCTCTTAAAAGAATCGGAATCGAGAATCGTTAGGAACCGGAATCGAAACAAGGAATCGGAATCAGAATCGTTCAAATTCAAACGATACCCAACCCTGCCTGCCATAGAGCCTGAAACATTTTTTTAATGCCCGTAATCAACTAGCCCAGGCTACCTGCCATCATCATCATAAATTCATAATATATACATTAAGGTTTTTTACTTTAAAAAACAAAATAAAATCATTCACCGGCTTACCTGGTGACTCGATGAGGTACAATTAAATGTCCGGGTAAGACACCTCTGGCCACTGGGTGGGGTTGTTACACCAATTTGATGCTGGGAGAATAAAGGGACGTGTTTTTAAATTGGCCAAATTAAATTTGCGTATGTATCTTGCACGCTCTATGGCTGGCAGGGTGGACAATTTAATACTTGACATGTTTTATATAAGTGATTTCTTAGGTTATTTACGTCTCTCGGCTGTGTACGGACGTCGGTTTTTGTCGTTATTTTGTATTGAAGTCTATGGGGAGTCTAGTTTGTTTTCCCCCAAAAGTGGGCGTGAACCTATTCAGAGACATTCCATGATGCAGCGCCGGTTGTGCTTATTTATTGTGTCAAAACAAACATCTGGTTAGCTGTTATACTATGCCTATCTGTGTGATTTAAATATAGGACAAGCCTAAATCTAGACAAGCCTAACTTACATGAATATAAATATGTGAAGTTTCTGGCTTGAAAGTTAGCTAAACTGAAGGGTTCTACGGCTATAAATATCTCCGCTTGGCTGCAGTCTGGAACCCTGTCTTCATGCAGTTGAAATGTTGACCAGCGCTGATGTGTTGTTCTGCGGCTGTGCTCACAGGCCAAGAAGAAGTTCTTTGACACGGAGCTGGAGACCCTGGAGAAGCAGCAGAAGCAGACCATAGAGAAGATGGAGATGGACCACACCACACGACTGCGGGACGAGGGCAAACGCATCCGTGCGGAGCAAGAGAAAGCCTACAGCAAGTTCCAGGACCAGATGAAGCACAAGAAGAAGGAGGCGAGTGAGCTACACCCCAAACATACACACATATTCAAAATATACTTTATTGGCCTCAAACATTAAATTTTAATGATTTCCCAAACGTTTGTTGCACGAAACTGTTAATATCAAATGAATGTTATTGGTAATTTCCATTATAAATATGAAATATATTAATTCATATATTTGAATGTGTAACTAATATTTTAGAACTTTACTATTTTAATGTAATGTATATTGAAACCTGGCTTCGTTGTAAATCTCGTTAATCAAATAACTGCTAAAATGATTCATTTTTATTTTATTTTGCTAATGATAATGTAAACAAGATGATTATTTTTTCAATGGTGGTGATGAAATTGACATCGAAATTGACAAATTGAAATTTTTCTGAAGAGGAGTATGTTTGACTTAGATGATGAAATATGAAGTCGCTAACATCCCACGTAGAGTCTGCATCATCATATGTGTCTAAAATATTGAAATCTGTTGATCTAGCATTCAAGCGGTCCGCTATTTTATTCCAGATATTTCTTCTGATGAGAGTAAAGGCCAATTTATACTTCTGCGTAGGGTGCGCGCAGTAGGTACGGCGTAGCATATGCACAGACGCGTCCCATACCGCGTACCCTTCACCGTCGCCTGACACGCACCTCCTCAAAAATATAACTACATGTCGCGACGACGCGGACCACAAGATCAGTGATTGGTCGGCTTGGTAGCATCGTATTTCCTCCTAAGTATTTACGCACGTACCATCTCCTCCGACGTCTTCTCTCGTTTCTGCCTTTCAGTTTTAGTCATTTCACTAAAATTAACCACCTTTTTCCACCTCAATAAGCTCCAACTCCAACATGATCCGCTCTCTTTCAGTCGCTATTGCTCATAGACAGCTATTGCTTGTTGTAACCTAGCCGTGAGGAATCTAAACACAGTGGAACATTAAAACCCTCCACCGCCAACTAGCGTTTCGGAGCAGTACTGCAGAGTAACCAAGACCTGAACGCAGAAGTATAAATGCTCACAACGGCGTCGCCTACGTGCGTAGCCAACGCCGTACACTACGCCGTACCCTCAACGCAGAAGTATACATTGGCCTTAAAGGATTAGTTCACTTTTGAAAAAACTTTTGCTGATAATTTACTCACCCCCATGTCATCCAAGATGTCCATGTCTTTCTTTCCTCAGTCGAAAAGAAATTTAGGTTTTTGATGAAAACATTCCAGGATTTTTCTCCTTATAATGGACTTCAATGGGAACCGGATGGTTCAAGGTCCAAACGACAGTTAATAACAGTTTCAGTGCAGCTTCAAATGTCTTTAAACGACACCAGACGATGAATAAGGGTCTTATCATGCGAAACGATCGGTTATTTCAAAACTTATTACAAAAATGTAACTTTTCTAAGGACAAATGCTAGCCTTGCTCTATTCTGTGAGGCGCGTTTGTAACGTCACGTAATACGTAATTACATTCAAAAGGTCACGGACGACGTAGCCGAAAGTACAGAGTCAGTGTTTACAAGTTGAACATAGGTTGAACGTGCAAACTAGCTCAAACACCATTTACAAAAAAAGGAATTAAAAGGAAAAACAACGATGTCGGACTATTTTGATTCTGTACTTCCGGCTACGTCGCCCGTGACCTTTTAAACGTAATTACGTATTACGTGACGTTGCAAACGCGCCTCACAGAATAGAGCAAGGCCAGCATTTGTCCTTAGAAAAGTTACATTTTTGGAATAAGTTTTGAAATAACCGATCGTTTCGCATGATAAGACCCTTATTCATCGTCTGGTGTCGTTTAAAGACATTTGAAGCTGCACCTGAAACTGTTATTAACTGTCTTTTCGACCTTGGACCGTCTGGTTCCCATTGAAGTCCATTATATGGAGAAAAATCCTGGAATGTTTTCATCAAAAACCTTCATTTCTTTTTGACTGAGGAAAGAAAGACATGGACATCTTGGATGACATGGGGGTGAGTAAATTATCAGCAAAAGTTTTTTCAAAAGTGAACTACTCCTTTAACGCCATGTCATGTGACCACACAGCCCGTTATGGGGCCATTCTAGATAACACTTGTGTTAAATTTTCCAGTTTGAATTAAAACACTTACCCTCGTTTGGTCTCAGGTCAAACAAGAAGTGGAGAAACTGCCCAGGAATCAGAGGAAAGACAGTTTGAAGGCCAAAATGAACAACTTTCAACAGCTGAAATCCAACGAGGTTTGTTTATCATGGACAGAATCATCCATTTCAATGGCCAATCAAACACTAGGAAAGGACCAAAGAGGTCTGACTTTCATTCTTTCCGGCTCTTTGTTCAGGAAGAGAAGTTCCTTGCGGATCAGAGGGATCATCTGGACTCGACTCTGAAGAGGATCATTGCTGAAAACAAGCGGGAAATCTCCGAGACGGAGCGCGATTGCCTCCTGAAGAAACAGGCTCTACTCAGAGGTATAAGTGCAGACTGAGAGTCACGGTTTCCGAAGAGCTGAATGCAGACGGCGCATCTAACCCGAGCGCTCTCCTCTTCCCTCAGATCGAGAGTCCACTCTCTGGGACATGGAAGAGAAGAACCTGCACGAGAGACACCAGCTCCTCAAACAGCAGCTGAAGGACCAGTACTTCATGCAGAGACACCAGCTCCTCAAGAAACACGAGAAGGTGTGTGTGTGGTTCTGCCCCTGTGTGTGTAAAGCTTGTGCTGTGTGTTAGTGCTCTGACACTGACCCGTGTGTGTGTGGGGTCTCAGGAACAGGAACAGATGCAGTGTTATAACCAGCGCATGATTGAGATCCTCAAAGCTCGACAGCAACAGGAGAAGAACAGACTCCCGAAGATCCAGCGCAGCGAGGGCAAGACACGCATGGTGATGTTCAAGAAGAGCCTGAAGATCAACTCCACCGGAAACTCAGCGGAAGACCGCGAGAAGATCAAGCAGGTGAAGTGTGTGTGTGTGTGTGTGTCCTCTCAGAGACTCCTCTCTCGGCCCGTGTGTTTGTGTGTGTGTGTCCTCTCTGAGACGTGTCTCTCTCTCTCTCGTGTTCAGTTCACCAGGCTGGAGGAGAAGAGGCAGAAGGCCGAGCGACTGCACCAGCAGCAGAAACATGACAACCAGATGAGAGAGATGATCAGCCAGTGTGAGGGGAACAGCCGAGAGCTTCAGCAGCTGCAGGTCACACACACACTCTCCTCTTCTTCAGCCCCGTTCACACAGTGCTGGGCGGTAGACCGGTTCATAGCGGTGTTTATTAGGGCTGGGTAATAAATATCGACGTCTCGATACTAATCGATTCTCATTTTTACGAACCGATATCGATTCTTAAATCTCAAGAATCGATTAGTCATCCTGTTTCATTTGAATAAATTGAACATTGTATCGCGGCTCGCGCATCTAAAAAAATCGCAATAATCTTTGCCCTTTGTTACTATTGATATGAAACAAAGTCATTTTTCAAATTACGTCCATTTTCTTTAGAAATTCAAAAACATGAATAACGTTTTGGCGCTGTGGCGTGAGATCGCTCTTAGCAGCGCTGATCTCTCTTCCGGGTTAATAATACCAGTCACAGCGCCAAATAAACATGAACGAGCATCTGAAAGTGTGTTAAAGATAGAGTACAACTTATCGAAATCCGTATCATGACACATTGATTCGCTCAATCAGCGTTTCAACCGTGGAAAGACGTCAGTTAAACAGCTCGTAATCAATCGTCATATTTACCTCAGAAAACCCACATAAACTCGTTAGTCAGCTAGAAAAATAACTCTAGAGAGGAGCATTTTGCTAAATATATACACCATATTACATATGCATTATAATCTTAATGTTCTTCAATATTTAATGCATATTTGAATAAATCTGGCAAGTTTTTATGACAGCCACCATTTAAATGTTTATATTTCATATAATCTTCTTATTATAAAAATAAATGAAAGTGTAATTTAAGTGTTTGTATAGCTACAAAACAGTTCATTATTACCTTCATATTAGGCTAATGAAGCCTAGTAGGCTACAACTAGACTCCCATAGTTTACAGCATTAGTTAAGAGATTTGATTCCCTTGAGAAAATTTGCCATTTATTGTAACTGATATCCAAAATAATCGATATTGAATCGAATCGGGATCGAATTGTGAAATTTGTGTGAATACCCAGCCCTAGTGTTTATTTTTGTTATGATATGAATTTTTAATATACCGCAATACCAGTGTCTCTGTCTGAGGGGGCCTTTTCACTGTTGCACTGGTGATACACAGCTGTGTGTGTGTGTGTGTTACTGTAAAGGTGAAGATGGATGGGTTACACTATAATTGATAGCTGTCAAATTATATTACAGTGTTTCCCACACACATTGGTTCTCAATATTAACACTGTTTGACATCGCTGAATAAACATGAGCACTGCATGTTTCAAAGTCTAATCGTGGCGCGGGTGTTTTTAAATGAATGTTTCTGAAGTGAACCTACAGTCTTTAGAAGAGTTTCAACGTTATTTTCATTTAAAGCTACATTGTGTAACTCTTTTAGTTTATTCTTAGCTAAAAACACTTAGTTCTTTTAAAAATATATGCATCTCATTAATGTATATTTACTTCGTTCAAGTAATAAAGTATTGTCGTGAGTATTCTCGCATATCTATAATATGCCTTTGAAAATACATACGGGTAAGGGGTTCTAATGTCTCCATCTTGAAAGTACATTAGACAAAGAGGGACATACCCGTTAATTCAAGCTTCGCCTTTCGCGTTTACGTTTGAGTTAACACTCATGGACGAGGTCAAACTGGAAGCCATGTTAATCTTGGACTACATTGGCCACCGTAGGAGTTAAAACGAAATCGGAATTGAGAGGAACAGAAACTAATATTCACACAGTGTAGCTTTAATATTTCCTGATAAAGCAGCATTTATGAGCGTTGTGCTGCTTTGTGTACTGTCGTTACCGGGAAACCGCTTTGTGTTCAGCCGCTACCGTGGAAACCGCTGTTTGAGTGACAGACCTACAGCGCCTCCTGCTGGACCTCTTTATGAAGAGCGTCATTTTGTGCAAACCTGTATTAATGTGGATTTCTCTAGAATATTCACTCAGTCTACTGCAGTATCTCCTCTCTCAATCAGCAGAAAATGTGGATAACACCCAATCAGAAAAAAAAGTAATGCCTACTGTGAAACCGGTATAATAATAAAATAAAAGTGATATAAATGTATATATAAATCATATAATATGATTGTTTGGTCAAACCACCCAGCACTACATTCACACATATTGTGTAGAACACAAAAGGAAAAGATAGTTTGATACATGTCTGAGTGTATTTTGTTTTCAACCTCAACATTATCTGACACACTCTTTTTTTTTTTTTAGAAGATAAGCTATGAATTAACTATAAACTAAGTTTAAAAAACTATTTTGTTACTGTAAACTTATAGTATTACCTGACATTTGTGTGTTGCATCGCGTCTCCCTGAAAACTCAATGGCGTTTTTGTGGTGATAGTTGTTTTGTTTCACACTTCACGTGTCTGACTGTGTGTGTGTGTGTGTCCTGCAGAATGAGAAGTGTCACCTGCTAATAGAAAACGAAACGCAGCGTCTGAAGTCACTGGACGAGCAACACAACCAGCAGCTGAAGGAATGGAGAGAACACCTCAAGCCCAGGAAGAAGGTCAGAGGTCACTTTCACACACCGAGTTACACACGTCTGGAACGTGAATTACAGAAAAACAAACATAAATTGAACTCAACCATTCAGAAGTTTGTGGGTGTCCGATTGAGCCTCTCATGGTCATCATGCATTTATCTGGTGAAAAACAGTCAGAATAGTAATATTGTAATGTACTGTTTAAAATGTCTGTTTTAATATTAGACTTCGATGAATTGTCTTATTGCAGTTATTTGATTTAATCACAATTATTTGAGTTAACTGTGCAGGTTATGTTTGAATTCACATTTTGCCGTTGAAATGAGGGAGATTTTCTTTCGTGGTAACCGGACCTCAGTCGATGAAGTGTGTGTGAAGGTTACACCCGTTCTGGAGCGCACGCAAACATTTTCAATTAAGGGGTTAACTTGCATTATGGTAAAAATTTCCATCTTCATCATTCTAAACATTCTTGGTCTAATGCTCTTTATGACATGAAGGCTTGAAGGTTTAATCAGACGGCATTTTTATAGTATGTTATATTTTACTATATTATATTATATTATATTGTTCAAGTTTTCTGGGCTCCAATTAAAGTTGAACAAAAAGAGAAATATTTTAAAGTCCGCCTGTAGTCAATAATTGTATCCCTGCATCTTTGATCACTAAAATGACACATTTTAAAAAAAAAATTTGTTCATGCCTTCTTGAATGTAACTCGACACCCTTGCCTCATTTAGTATACGTGGTCCTATGAATATGCAAATGAACCCCGCCTCCACTCACTCAGAGATCCACTGTTTGACGATGACACGTTGATCTGATTGGTTACAAGGTGGTTTGTGACGTCAGAAACACCAGCGTGTTTTTGAGACTGTCTTTGGTTCACTGCAGTTTTAAGCAGAAAATACTTGTGAACAGAATATGAATTATGAATTTACACACAGTTTGTCTCAAAGCATATTAACAACACCACATAGACACATAAACAACATTGAAAGCTGGATTTTCACCTTTCACCTTCTGATATAAAGAGTGGCTATAATCATGTGTTCTGGAGAAAACCATGTGTTTTGTGTTGCGATTTAGACTCCTCTTTCAATTCTTTTACTTCTGCTCATTTTTTTTTTATTTTTTATAAAAGATCAAAAGGATTTACAATGCAGATTTATTTGCACAGCTGTTTCTGATCATATTTACCAGGGGTGCTAATAGTTCTGATCACAACTGTAGATAATGGCTTTTTATTTATTTATTTATTTATCAACATAACTTACAGGTGAAACTCGAAAAATTAGAACATCGTGCAAAAGTTCATTGATTTCAGTAATTCAACTTAAAAGGTGAAACTAATATATTATATGCAATGTGAGGCATTTCAAGCCTTTATTTGTTATATTTTTAATGATTACGGATTACAGCTTATGAAAACCTTTTCACAATATTCTAATTTTGAATTTGGGGTTTTCATAAAGGGATAGTTGACTTTGAAATGAATTTTTGGCATGTTTTATCTTACCTCAAGGGCATCCAAGATATCAGTGTCTTTGTTTCCACAGTAGTTTCAATTTTGATATTTTTAGTTCAAACCGTTCTTGTCTGTCAGTCATATAATGGAGGTCTATGGTCACCACCTCAAAGAGCATGCACAGAGAAGTCCAAATTAAAAATGATTTAATGACTCGTAAATGTAAGTACACATTGATGGACTAAGACACGAAACGAGCGGTTTGTGTGAGAAAACGAACAGTATTTATATCGCTCTTGTAACCACAGCCAAGTGATCTGAGGGCGCGGGCGCTTTGTGGTAAAAACGATATAAATACTGTTCGTTTTCTCACACAAACCGCTCGTTTCGTGTCTTAGGCCGTCAATGTGTACTTACATTTACGAGTCATTAAATCATGTTTAATCTGGACTTCTTTGCATGCTCTTTGAGGTGGTGACCATAGACCTCCATTATATGACTGACAGACAACAACGGTTTGACCTAAAAATATCAAAATTGAAACTACAGCGGAAACAAAGACGCCTACATCTTGGATGCCCTTGAGGTAAGCTAAAACATATCAAAAATTAATTTCAAAGTGAACTATCCCTTAAGCTGTACGCCATAATCCTGTCAGTTAAAACTGTCAGTTATTGTCGTTTGGATGTGATTTGTTGTGTAGTGACCGTGTGACGTGTTCTCTCTCAGGTCCTGGAGGATGAACTGACTCTGAGGAAGAAGGAGCAGGAGATCTTCTTCAGGTTGAGTGAAGACTTGGAGTGTGTGAACGTCGGCTCGCCGAACAAACTCACCAAGTTCCTTCCGTACGTGGATTCCTCCACCACATGAGCGCCACACACACACTCACACATCCAGATCCACAACAAGTGTGTGAGCTTTTTTTATTTGTGTTGGAGGCGTCACCTGATACACGTCAGATCACACGATGCTGAAGCGTAAAGCCAAAGACGCGTTGAAAGCGATACTGACACACTCATGATTGACGGACAGTTCTCTGCTCTATATAGACAGAGGCGAGAGCTGGGATGAAGGGATTTTGTTTGATGAATAAGAAACGAGGGCATTGTTTCGTCTGACAGTCTCGCCTTAGTTAAAAAGCTGTCGATCTTTCGAAGTTGGTCGAAGCTGGTGAATTGCCAAACATATTGTACAAACCTTGCATATTCTTATATATTTTTATTTTTTCTATGATCATTTATTATATATATATATAGAAACTTTATAGCTTTTCTTTTATAACCAATTTTGCCCTTGTACAAATGTTTAAATGCTGAAAAATGTTTTAATTAGTTTGAACCGCTTCACAGAAGCATCGTTTTAATTGGTACTTTAAGTTATTTTCCACGTTCGTTGGATGTTTTAGTTGTTTTATGTACGAGACGACAGCTCATTTGCCACTTTTATTACTCCGCAAAGTTCCCGAACTGTGAGTTATCGTCGACACTCTTACTGTAACGCATCACACTGGACGACACGGGCCAAACTTCCAGACTCTGGCTTGAGGATTAGTTTACGTTGGCATGGAGTTGACGTTTAGTTTAGTTTAGTTTATCGTCGGCCATTTTGTCACCTAACTCAAGTGCAATATGTGTGTGTTTTTCCTCTAATGTTGTGTTGAGATTATTTTACGAGCGCTTCCATTCTTTAGCCATCGGATGGGTTTATTTCCCCAGTGTCTGACAATAAGGTACTTGGATTTTAATCGTTTTATTTTTATTTTATTTGTATGCACAATGTTGGTCATTCCTGTTTGAGTCTGTAACTCTGTTTAACCAAAGGTTCAGTGTGGATGATGATGATGATGATGATGCCTCTCCCGATGTAAGAAACTGTTCTCCTACAAGAGTATATATAATAAATGAGATGTTTATTATTCATCCCTTCTTTCATTGAGTTATTGATATTAGACATAAGTTTGTGGTTAAAGGAGTAGTTCACTTTTAGACAAACTTTTGCTGATAATTTACTCACCCCCATGTCATCCAAGATGTCCATGTCTTTCTTTCTTCAGTCGAAAAGAAATGAAGGTTTTTGATGAAAACATTCCAGGATTTTTCTCCATATAATGGACTTCAATGGGGACCAAACGGTTCAAGGTCCAAAAGAGAGTTTCAGTGCAAACTGTTCAAAGGGCTTTGTCTTATCAAGCAAAAAAAAAATGTTTTAAAAAGTTTTATAAGCTCAAATGGTCGCCTTGCTCTGTTCTGTGATGCGCGTTCATGACTCTCCTGTTTGAACCCGTTTATCAAATGAACGAATCTTTTTCCGAGTCATTTGGTTCATTAAATGAACGAAACGAACGAATTGACTTGGAAAAAGATTCGTTCATTTTGAGTTCTTCCACTGAAACTGTCTTTTGGACCTTGAACCGTAAAATAAATAAATAATAAAAAATAATAATATAACAATAAATCTTACATGTCACAAAGAACTTGTTTTTCCACCTCCACGAATGAGACGAGTGTCGTTCATTATGTCCTTGTTGAGGTAAATTGTAGTTTTGCTTACTTAAACCCCCGGTCTTGCATTAAAAAGATGAAAATTAGTATTTAATTAAATGCATTTATGGTGAGATTACTATATTTTATTGAATTAAATGCATGTATGGTGAAACTAAAACATTTTCAGGTCAATCTGTGTTCATTTTGACCACGAACCGTGCGCTAGTCACTTAATTCAGCGTTTGCAGCCCAGCAGAAATAGACTCGGCGCGGCAACGATCTCTGCACTGCTGTATACGCACCGCAACTGGAACGGACTGACGGACTGCAGCGTGAAAGCTCTAACCTGTTGACATGGGTATGGAAAAAAATATGCACTGCAAACGGTGTGTATGTGAAACGGGCGTAAGCGACAAGAATACTTTTTGTGTGAAAAAACACAAAAATAACGACTTTATTCGACTATTCCTTTTCTTCCTTCTGGGCCTGAGACGAGACTTCAAGAGATTTCCACGACGCACGCGCGAGAACTGAACTGAAGTAGTTGAAGGAGATCGCAATTCTCGCGCATGCGTCGTGGAAATCTAAGGAAGTCTCGTTTCAGGCCAACAAGGAAGAAAAGGAATAGTCGAATAAAGTCGTTATTTTTGTTTGTTTTTTTACACAAAAAGTATTCTCGTCACTTGATAAACTTATAGTTGAGCCACGGTAGTCACATGGAATATTTAAACATCTTCCGTCAAGTTTCATTCCCTTAGGCAGCCTATGTAGCAGTGATCCAGCTCTCAAATTTAATCAAAAATATCTTCATTCGTGTTCCGAAGACGAACGAAGGTCTTGTGGGGTTGGTACAGCATGGGGGTGAGTAATTAATTACTTAATTTTCATTTTTGGGTGAACTAACCCTTTAAGGTTGTAAAATGTTTTCCAAAAAGTTTGTCTATATTACTTCTAAATGCTTTTCACTTGCACACGGCCGAGATTCGGCACATGTACGGCATAGCCACACTGTTTACTGGCAGACGTTTGTGTAGATGATGTATTCATCCTTACATTCCAGCAAGAAAGGAAACTGTGGAAGAAAAATATGGCTTTATAAGCCTGGTTTCAAAGACAGGGTTTAGATTAAAGGACTAGTTCACTTTTTAAAAAAACTTTTGCTGATAATTTACTCACCCCCATGTCATCCAAGATGTCCACGTCTTTCTTTCTTCAATCGAAAAGAAATTAAGGTTTTTGATCAAAACATTCCAGGATTTTCTCCATATAATGCATTTTAATGGGAACCAAACGGTTCAAGGTCCAAAAGACAGTTTCAGTGGAGGAACTCGAAATGAACGAATCTTTTTCTAAGTCAATTCGTTTGTTGAATGAACCAAATGACTCGGAAAAAGATTCATTCATTTTGATAAACGAGTTCGAACAGGAGATTCACAAACGTGCATCACAGAACAGAGCAAGGCGAGCATTTGAGCTTATAAAACTTAAACTTTGTTATTCCTCCATCCATCCACCCCTTTATTCCTCCATACATCCACACCTTCATTCCTCTGTCCATCCACCCCTTTATTCCTCCATACATCCACACCTTCATTCCTCCATACATCCACACCTTCATTCCTCTGTCCATCCACCCCTTTTCCTCCATACATCCACACCTTCATTCCTCCATACATCCACCCTTCATTCCTCTATCCATCAACCTTTATTCCTCCATCCATCCATCCTTTATTCTCTGTCCATCCACCCCTTTATTCTTCTGTCCATCCACCCCTTCATTCCTCCATCCATCCACCCTTTATTCCTCCATCCATCCATCCATCCCTTCATTCTTCTGTCCATCCAACCCCTTCATTCCTCCATCCATCCAACCCTTTATTCCTCATCCATCCATCCTCCTTTATTCTCTGTCCATCCACCCCTTTATTTCCTCCGTCCATCCAACCTTTATTTCTCCATATCATCCACCCCTTTATTCTTCTGTCCATCCACCCCTTCATTCCTCCATACATCCACCCTTCATTCCTCCATCCATCCACCCCTTTATTCTTCTGTCCATCCACCCCTTCATTCATCCATACATCCCAACCCTTTATTCCTCCATCCATCCAACCTTTATTCTTCTGTCCATCCACCCCTTTATTCCTCCGTCCATCCAACCCTTTAATTCTCCATACATCCACACCTTCATTCCTTCGTCCATCCACCCCTTTATTCTTCTGTCAATCACCCCTTCATTCCTCCATACATCCACCCCTTCATTCCTCCATAATCCACACCTTCATTCCTTCGTCCATCCACACCTTCATTCCTCTGTCCATTCACCCTTTATTTCTCCATACATCCACGCCTTCATTCCTCCATACATCCACACCTTTATTCCTCCTCCATCCACCCCTTTATTCCTCCCTACATCCACCCCTTTATTTCTCCATCCATCCACCCCTTTATTCTTCTGTCCATCCACCCCTTCATTCCTCCATCCATCCACCCCTTCTATTCTTCTGTCCATCCACCCCTTCATTCATCCATACATCCAACCCTTTATTCCTCCATCCATCCAACCCTTTATTCTTCTGTCCATCCACCCTTTATTCCTCCATACATCCACCCTTTATTTCTCCATCCATCCACCCCTTTATTCTTCTGTCCATCCACCCCTTCATTCCTCCATCCATCCACCCCTTTATTCTTCTGTCCATCCACCCCTTCATTCATCCATACATCCAACCTTTATTCCTCCATCCATCCACCCCTTTATTCTTCTGTCAATCCACCCCTTCATTCCTCCATACATCCACCCCTTCATTCCTCCATCCATCCACACCTTCATTCCTCTGTCCATTCACCCCTTCATTCCTCCATACATCCACCCCTTCATTCCTCCATCCATCCACACCTTCATTCCTCTGTCCATTCACCCCTTCATTCCTCCATACATCCACCCCTTTATTCCTCCATCCATCCACCCCTTTATTCTTCTGTCCATCCACCCTTCATTCATCCATACATCCAACCCTTTATTCCTCCATCCATCCAACCCTTTATTCTTCTGTCCATCCACCCCTTTATTCCTCCGTCCATCCAACCCTTTATTTCTCCATACATCCACCCCTTTATTCTTCTGTCAATCCACCCCTTCATTCCTCCATACATCCACACCTTCATTCCTCTGTCCATTCACCCCTTCATTCCTCCATACATCCACACCTTCATTCCTTCGTCCATCCACACCTTCATTCCTCTGTCCATTCACCCCTTCATTCCTCCATACATCCACCCCTTCATTCCTCCATCCATCCACACCTTCATTCCTCTGTCCATTTACCCCTTCATTCCTCCATACATCCACCCCTTTATTCCTCCATCCATCCACCCCTTTATTCTTCTGTCCATCCACCCCTTTATTCCTCCATACATCCACGCCTTCATTCCTCCATACATCCAACCCTTTATTCTTCTGTCCATCCACCCCTTCATTCCTCCGTCTATCCACCCCTTTATTCTTCTGAGAGGTGGCCAAAATGAATTTAAAAAGGACTAAAGGATAAAGCTCTCTACGAACTTGTATGACTGACTGACATACAGTATGCACATGAATCACTGTCACACGCTCAGAGACATATTGTAAGTTTAAAAGACACTTTTGGCTATGTCTTTTAACTATTATAGTATTTCGAAGGGCAAAAACATGAACTTTAACTATTTGCAAGTCGCATACTTGCATAGCCCTTTAGGTGGTACTGCCAGTAGCATATAGCATTAGCTATCACGTTGAGCTAAGCGGGCATAGTTTCAGCAACCAGGCAACTCAGCTCCACCGACGTCCTGCCTCTTTGACCATTTTCTGTTATCAGAGAGCCGAGAGCACTTTAATTAGTTAAATTGTTTATTTTTATTAATAAAAAGGTTTACTTGTCGTCACCGCTGACCTCCTTGTCCTTTTTCATTAAACTTTGTTACACTGGTACTAATTCACTAATCATTTCACTGACGAAAAGTGTCACAGTCACCACCTAATGATCATTGTCACTGTCATGTGTTAGTCCCCGTCTACACAACAGTTCCCAGCATCCTCCTTGGCCCACACCTGCACCTCCTTAACCATTACCCACACCAGAGAATGTCTAATTGAAGAGAATTGGCACTGGCTGGTTACTTCTGGTTTCTGGACTGGCTGCAGTAACGCGTCTCTGTCCATGCGGGGGCGCTCGCGGTCGAGTGCAGAATGAATGGGAGTCAATGGGGTTTCACCCCCAGAAATCCACTTTTCTCAGGATGTAATTCTTTGTCAAGTAATTTGAAAGTTGCATTCAAAAGGGAGGGCTAAGATAATACACTCACCTGAAAAAATGCATTTTTAAGTTCGCTTATCTGTTCTAAAAATCTGTTCGAAAAAATTGTCACACAATAGCAGAATGCTAGCGTGTTCCGGC